TCAAAATTAATGTCTAAAGAAATCTTATCAAGTTTTCTTTCAAATTCCACTTTTTGATATGCATACAAATCCCAAAGTTGTTGTAGGTGCCTAGTTTTGTACCTTTAAATCTGATTTCGACCTAAATTAATAATATGTCTTCTTTAGGTATCAAATTTTGTCATTTTGAATTAATTTTTGTTAAAATAAAATTCTAACTTCTTCTTACATATTTTTATATCTTTTTTTTTAATCTACCTTGTTTTGCCTTATTTATGGTCTTACAAAGTAATTTAAAGCCTACTTTACAAAAAGATAGCATTTACATCTTTAGTTTTATTTTTTTTTGGAATATTTTCTATTTTCTAAGATAATTTGGTAAAATATTTGAAATAAGATCTTCTATAATATAATAATTTCTTCACCATTTTCATCTATTAGTTGTGTTATATCACAACAACATATATAATAAAAGTTTATATTATTTTTGCAGCATATATGAAAATTATTACACCTATCAATAATGGTTTGGATGTATTAATCTTATGGATTTCTACTTGCTTAGTAGAATCTTAAACTAAACTATGAAAAAAATCAAGATTATGAGAAATCTACTCTATTTGAGGATTATATCTTTTTAATTATAATAATCTTGAAATAATTAAATTAAAAAGAGATCTAATTATATTAAATATTATTAAACTATTATTACCACTAATTGCTATTTCTACAAAAATAGTTTCATGTATAACATCTCCAAAAGACAATGAACAATCATCTATTACTTCTACATGCATATGTAGAAACATTTTCAAACTTCTCAATCATACTAATCATTTTCCTTGTTGTACTTTTAAAAATAAAACTTTTTGGATTTGGTTGTGAGATTAATCTACTTACTTCTTTTAACTACACAACTTTTTGATGCAAACTTTGAACTTCTTTCAAAGGCATAAGATTAATGTTTCTACGATTGGCACTTGTGATGCGTGAAATTTCTATCCTAAGAGTATTGATAAGTTTATGAAGATCTGCAGTAATTGTAAATTTATTCTCACTTCTACCAAGTGTAGCATCTATAATTTTTCTTTCTATTTCAAACAACTTAAAAAATTCACAAATCAAATTAGAAAAAGATAATTGAAAATCTTTAATATCAAATGAAAATTTCTATAAAGTAAGATAATTTTTTCTTTGTAAAGAAAAAAATTAGTATTAGAAAATTAAACAATTTGTTTAAAGGTGGATAATCTGCAACCTTCAAAACACAACAATAAAATAAGATATTCTACTCATTTCTAAAACAATACAAGCATTATGAGTTAAGATTCTTATCAAACTATGAAGGACATAAATCTTAAAGAAAAAAATCCTCAATACACTCTTGTGTCACTCAAAAGAACTAGAAAGTCACTCAAAAATGATATAATATTAAACTAGAATGGCTATTACCAAAGACAAAAAGACTAAAAAGTCTTAGAATAAGACTAAAGACTAGAAAGATATTGAAAAGAATAAAGAAGGCTTTATTCTTACCTTCATATATACTCTTTATTAGGAGTTATGTAGCTATGTCCTATAGGACTTATAAAATGTGTTGACTTTATAAGATACATATTTTAACTTCTAAGGTAAGTTTTTTTATATGTAAGCCACATAATTAGCTTATTCCACAAACTATTAATATGTGATTAATTTATTGACTAATTTTTTAGCTTACCAATTAATTATAAATATATGTAAAATCAAAGCAACATCTATAAAGCTTCTAAGAAGCTTATCTATAAAATATTATGAAATAAATCTACTTTTATCTATTTCTACTTAATTATATAGGTAAATATTAAAATAAATATGTATGTTCATAACATTATTACTCTCAAATGATATTTCTAGTAGTATGATTTCATGAATAATATTGCTTGAAGGTAAAGATTGATCATCTATTATTTTCATATATATAGGTTTTGATTTTTGTACTATAATAATTTTTATGAAGTTTGAAAAACTCTTTATTTAAAAAACACACAAATGTTCTTAAAACTAATAAAGAATTTATTTGAAGTTTTTGAGGGCTAAAAATAAATGTATAATAAAAAATTAAGCAAGTTAGGCAAAGATAGAGGATCCTTGATGAATTTAAGGTGTTGATGTATCCAACTACACGATCCCTAGTATGGTTGGGCTTCTTTGTTTTCTTAAACAATTATACTTTTAATCTTAGTTGTATGTTGTTTCTTCAAACAATTCCTAGATTTGTGGCCTCTTTTATCATAATATAAGCATAGGCCTTATTCAAATTGATACTTCTTTTTCTTTGCTATAAGAAGTTTGAATCATACTGCATCAATTTACATATCTTCAACTTCAAAGTGTAGAAGTAATATATTTGTTGAAGCAACAAAATATGAATTTTTAGTGCATTGCTATGTTAAAGTCCACAAGCATTGATTTTGACAACGTTGAAATAATCAATTATTGCACTTCTTAGCTTGGCTAATAGCTTCATTGATTATTTGAGGATCAAATAATGATAATAATAGGCCTTTCACATCATTTCTTAGTCTCAATAGAATTGGCTAATAAGAGCTAATTCATCTTAATTGATGTCATAAGCCAATTGCCTAAAATCAAATATATATAAATTAATATACAATGTGATTCTTAATGTAATGAATAAATCTTTATTGTTGCCTATGGAGCCTTGTCATATTTTCCAACTACCTCTACAAATACTTCTAAAACAAAATACAAAGTTGTTCAAGTTTAGAGATCTCTTTTCAAATAAAAGAGCAAATAAATTAAAGTTTATTCCATTAGCAAGGTTCTAACTAAACCAACTTGTGACTTCTTTGTTGAATAGCACTCAATTTGTAGAATAGTTATTAATCAAATTTGGTTAACAAACTCTCAAAAATTTGAGGATTAGCTATCAATTTTTTTTGGAAGACTAATCCAAGACTCTTTACGTTATTGAATAGGTGAGTTTCTTTATTGAGGTACAGGTGCCACTACCTCCTTGGATATAGAAGCTTAAGAAAGTGGTTGCATCACAAGCTGAATTGTTCTAAATCTTACATCACTATGAAATCTTATAAAAAATCTCTCAATTTCAGCAGTTCAGCATGTTCATAATAAAATCTAATTTAGACTCAAAAGACTCAATGATAGTAACATCTTTACATCTAGTCATCCTAAAAATATAAATAAATAAATAAATAAAGAAATAAAATCTAAATAATACCAATTTAGATGAGGGTACTCTACAACTTCTAAAGCACTTAGATGCCTTCAAGAAGATGGATAATCCACTGTCTATCAAAAAGGATCAAGCTTTAATATTGATAAGATGGCAATTTTAACAAACTATCACAAATATACTATACATAAGTTCAAATAAGAAGTTGAATAAAAGAATTTCAACGAGAAAGCTACTAAGAACTTAATTAAATCAAATGGGTATAAGATCAATACCAAGAGAGGTGAGCTAAAGCTCCAAAAAATATATTATGATCACTCAAGATTCTTTTAGCTTTAACTCCAATATATACTAGGTATTAAGAAGCTTCTTGAGAAGTTTCTATGTTGCTTGAAGATGAAGGAATTCTATGAAGCTTCTCAAATAACTTTCTTAATCTTCTTAAAACTTTCTAAAATATATTGAAATATTTTAAGATCCTTCTAAAAAATTTAAAGAAACTTTTAAAATATTATATTGAAATATTTTAAAAATCTTTTAGAATCTTTTAGAACCTAATAGAATATTTTAAGAATATTTCTAAAATTTTCTTAATGATGTTTGTAATGTTACATGCAAATTAATCAACTTATAAATTAGATTAAAATTATTTATATGAATAATTATTAAATTAAAAGATATCTATAAAATTTTTTATTTTGAAAGATTATCTATCAAAATTTGAAATAACTTAGCATATATTTTATAATATGTATAATTATTACATATAATAAGTATTTTGATTTTTTTTGGATGTGTATATTTATTATTTTTATAGAATTAATCATAATATTTTTTAAAATAATATTTAAATTATATTAAAAATTTACTACAAAGAATTTGTATTTAAATTTTTTTATTTAAAAAAATAAAAATACTATCCTTTATTATTATTAGAAATAATTATTACATTTTTTAAATTCATCTTCTTATTTTTTATTTTTTTTTATTTTTTATACATATTTGGGCTTTTTTTTTTTAAGTTTATATATATATATATATATATATATATATATTCACCTTTAGCTTAAGTATATACTTAAATTATATATGCAACAAAGTAATAAGGGATGAATTTAAAATTTAATTATAATCTTAATATGAGCTTTGTATAAGACCAAAATGACATTGAATTTATTCTCCTAATATAAGAACATATATTATCTAAATATATTAATAGATATTTAATGACTTTGGTTAATATAGAGGCTTTTAAATTTTAGAAATATATAAATTCTACATAATATTTGTAACATCTAATATGATAATTTAAATTATTATATATTTAAGCTATTACTTGATGAAAAATTACAAGATATAAGTATTAAGTAGATAATATTACATCCATATGATTTTATAAATTTCATAATTACGTAATGCCTAATTATTGAGTTTAAATTAAAAGATTAAAAAAATATCATTTTAATAAATGAATATTGTATCTAATTGCATCAATTCATCTCACATGCCAATATTTTGTGTATATATGTAGGTATCTTCATATACATGTACAACAACTTGTATACTTAGATTATTGTTGTTTATTGAGATTTAATATATAATTAATTGCATGCACAATTATGGTGCATGGTATATTATGATGCATAATACATATTTTAACACTTTTAAAACTTAAAGAGTTTTTGTTGTCAAATATAGTTCTATTAAAGCATATAAGATCAATCATCAATGTGTTTTTATATATGTAAATACACACATTAAAATAAATAAATATATATATATATATATATACTATTATTAAAAACGTCAAGTGCATAAAAAATAAAATAAAGTAAAATATAAGATTGACAGCATCAGAACTCATGAAAAGAACAAAGGGTGTGTATATTAGCTTTGCTCCATAACACACTCAGTCAAGAGGGATTAATGGCCCCTAAACTTAAGAAGTCTACAACTATTATATAACTCCGCATAGCTTACAGAGCATAACTCGTCACCAACCCTTAAACCCTAAACTCCAGTAATTGAGGCTTCTTCACCTAAGCTGTTGATAAGCTTTGGCTGGTAAAGTCACTTCATGCAATAAGCTGAGTCCATTTGAACTCGTATTCGGAAGTTCCTAGAAGAACGGGCTGATAAGAAATCGTGAATTATGGATGAATGAACCACATCATCCGTCATTTACTGCTCCGGAAAGTTCATCCATCTACGCAAAGCCAATCAAATCAAGGCCCTAAACTTGTTTTCGGCGTCGTCGTCGTCGTCCCAGAGTGCAAGCGAGATTTACGTCATGGCGGTGAAGATCGCCACCGTCGCATGGGCAATGGCAATTGCGAGGATGGCTGGTGGAGAAGGGAGTTGCTGGATTGGTGAAGCTCGGCTTCGACCCGGTGCAGGACTGGCGGGAAGATTCGAGAGCGAGGCGAAGAGATGAGCTTGCCTGGTGATCTTGATGGGCCGCATCATATCGTTGTCTTCGTGGTCGAGGATATGGCAGTGCCATAGATAACCAGGGCCTGTAGTGGGATCGAAGGGGAAGTCGCCTCCATTCTGAGCAGTCCATTGCATTACCAATCGAGTGACCTTATTTGGCATCGCAAGGATGGTGTCTTTCGGGCCGACTTGGTTTAGGAGCCCTGGTGTCGGCTCTCCGACGAGGCAGCGGGATGCATCGTTGAACAAGTCGCACCCGCCTTCTTCCCAGAGTTTTAGATTAAACTCTTGCTGGTTGAGGAGGTGGAATTTGATGAGGTGAATGTGCATGGGATGTGCGTCGGGGGTAAGGTTGATGAATTCCCATACCTCGGTGGCGCCCTTGGTCGGTGTCTCGGTGGCGGGATCATTCCATGTGAGGTTGGAGAGGAGAGAGCTCAGGGGATTGCCGTTGGGGTCGTCCATCTCGAACATAAAGTAACTTCTCCATTGAGCGTTTGTTGTGTTGATTAGGGCTTCTGGCTCTTTTAGGACGGCAGGAATCATGCTCAACGTCTGGGTTGTGATAGAGGCGTTTTGATTTACGTCATTGGAAACGATGAATTTCATCACACTGCGGGTACTCTCGGGGCTGAATGCTGCATCGCCTTCAGGGTAAGGTGCTTGGCCGGAATTGTTCAGAAAGACCTCGGAACCTGGGACTGTGGAGAAGTCAACAATTAAGTCCACTCTCTCCGCTGGTGCAACAGTGAGAATCTTCAAACTTTGAGGTTTCTCCAGCAGCCCTTGATCGGTGCCAATTTGCACGAAGGAGAGGTTTGCGTTCTCCATTGATAGCTCGAAGACACGGGCGTTGGCGGCATTCAATACACGGAACCGGTACATTTGAGGTTTCACTTGTAGATATGGCCAGGCTTTGCCGTTGACAAGAATTGTGTCGCCGAAGTACTCTGGACACCACTGCGCATGGTTCGTAGGAGAGTTGCCTACGTTTGGAAAATTGATAGAGCCATTATAGAAGAATTGTTTGTCCTGCAAAACAAGCTGAATTTCGAATTTCTCCTTCGGCATCCAATCTGGTGAGTCTTCGTTGGATCTTATAATGTACAGCCCCGCCAAACCAGCCAGGACATTCACCCTTGAGATCCCGAAAGTGTGATCGTGGTACCATAGCATGGTTGGTGGCTGTGCGTTCGGATAGGTGCCGTTCTGTGTCGTGTAAGCATTGCCGTGATCGCCAGCCGCTGTGAACCATGCGTCTGGGTGCCCGTCGGAGGTGCTGTGCGCCTCTGCTCCATGAACATGAGTGACCGTGGGAACACCGCCCGAACGAGGGTTCGCCCACATTATACTCTTGTCAAGAGCTAGCATATGCTGGCTATCAGTAATGTGGTTCTCCCATCGAATGTGCGACACAACATTCTCTATGACTTCAATCGTTGGACCAGGATATGAAGCTGATTCGTAGGTTGTCCCATATGCATACAAAGTTGTTGGAGGAAGATCTCTGTGTAATTTCTGGCCAGCACATTTTCACAGTTGTCACAATTTCAGATACAGCAAGGTAATGAGGATGATGCTAAGGGCTAGTGTTGCAGCTAATCACAATTTATTGAATCCACATAAGTAGTTTTACGCAATGTCGTGTTAATTAATTTGTAATAAAAATTACTGGAGTAGAAGATATGGATGCAGCTCACCTGTTGGATTTTGAATGCACCAACAATGATTTGTTGGTCAACCCACACGCGTATATCTTTGAGTCTAGGCAATTCGTCCACGAACTTGGCGAGTGGTGGAGATGGCGCTAGTTCTTGACATTGTGAAATAGCGGCATCAAGTTCTGAAGTGGCACCTTGAAAGCAAGATGCCCATGCTAACAACGAGACAAGTAAACACAATCTGCTCCTCGTCAACTCCATTGTGACACTTTCCAGGTATACCTGGAAACAGTTATTGCTGCAGGAACCATGAAGTAATAAACATTTGAAGGACACAGACAACTTTCTCGTGAAGTTGGCTACGCACGACTGTACCGATCTACCATACCAAAATTATCTAGCGGCGTTCTAGCTTGCAACTGAATTAAGCAGAGGAACATAATCCTCTTCAAAGGAGAAACATCGTCTACAGGAGGCTTCAGAGTAGACTCTGGAAATGTAGTGATCATTTAAGCCTGAGGTGCAGACAAGTGTGACCTTGCGCACAGGAACAACTCGGACTCATGTTTAGTAGAAGAATCTGTTATTCTCGGCGCTTACATTCATTTCAGCCCTTGGTTTTGTAAGTCATCTTGAGCATCTGGACGTTGATGAATTGGACACATCTTCAATATTTTGCCGCTTTAAAAAAAGTGAATGGGGTAATACCGCGGCCTGCAAGATAACTGGAACGACAGCCCACTGGGGATGGCAAGCAACACAGGTTGGACGAATGGTTCGAGACCCTGCTGCAGGTACAGTAAGATTCGAAGCAAAAGGATGCACTTCCAGGGGTTAGGATTGACGGCAAGATTAATGCTCGGGGTACTTTCTTTGAGTGCGGTGACTGCCACAAATGCTGGTGGAAACTGTGACGTAGCCAATTCTGGGACTACTGCAGCACACACCTTATGCTGAGCTCCTCACAATATGGTCACCTTGTACCCAGTACGGGCAAGTATGATTTGATATGCCAACCCCCTCTCTCATTGCAAATCATTCTAGACCACAATCATCAGTATTACTGCAAGGTTTTGTTTGCATACGATCCAAAAACCTCAATGTCACAATTTTACTTGATCACTACACTGATCGAAATGCACTTGTTTATCGTGTTGCACTGTCTGAACTAGAAGTGTCACTTTAGTTTTTGCAGGGCTTCAAATTCTACTCCCGGTTGTTAAAAAAGTGTGATTATTCTTATCCTGGTAGGAACAGGGTTGCGTCATAGATCGTGAAGAACTGACACAGCTTCCACAACCACCTAACTGCCTTTGAACTTGACAGGCGCATTCAGCTTCTTTTTGCCTTCATTTTCTCATCTTTTTGTTTATTTGTTTATTTATATTTCTTCATTGGTTTTATGCTTTTTCTTTCTAGGGGTGGGAATTGGTTTCTATTAACTACCTTACCCAGTCAGAACAGCCCCCTGTCTTCAATTCACTTCTTAATACCAATATGAAAAGAATTTGAAAAGAAACTAGGATATTTACCATCCACATTCTCAACCTGGGCAATACTCCCTTCTTTCATTATTACATTGTCAATATTAAATTTAAAAAAATACTCAAATTCTTACTAATGGTTTTGTTTTTTAGATTCTTTGATTCAGGTATAAATTTGTTGGATTTAATTTTGCAATATATATATGTATATATATATATACACACGTCTTCCTCCTTCAGTTTGATTTTATGATATATCATGTTTGTTGTAATGAATAATGAATAAGGTGAAATCGGCAACCATAGTATGTATATATATATCATATAAGTTAGGGCAAATATCACACATGCCCCTGAACTTTCTCGAAATATCAAGAACACCCCTCAAGTTTCGATAATATCACAAGTACCCCTAGTTCTTGTGCTGATTGCAAATTTACCCTTTGGGCTGATAAACTATCCAATTCCTCTGTTTTTTTGGTTTTAAATGGGGCCCAAAGCTTGTGCTTTTCTGGAGTGCCTGAGCCCCGCACGCCCTGGACGCCCCCATCTCCGCCGCTGCCGTCCCCGAAATTCCGGCGAGCACCAAGCGTAAGGTCGGGCAGAGCAGCAGAACCCATTGCTCATCATCCTCAGAATCTTTCTTTGTCAATAGTTAATATTTCATGTTTCTGAAGTTAATCAGTAAATATTTTGCTGTTATTGTTGTTGTTGTTGTTGTTGTTGTTTTTAAGAATAGTTAATTAATTAAAATTTTCTTTTAAAATTGGCTGCATACATTCCAATAATCGAAAATATATTACAAAAAAGAATTTCCAAAAATAAAATGCCTATTAATATTCTTCTCAACAAAGGCGGTCAAGAGTTTAGGCGAGTCGGAATGACCGTGAATTGCGGTCATAACCGTGACACTCACAACCGTGACATTCGTTCTACCCAAAACCGTGTACCTATACTACTCCTTAGACCATGGCCAGAAACTCATCCTGAGAGCGCGTTCATAGGCTCCCCTCCACCTCCTCATCCTCGTCCTCCTCGTCGGGCCTCGTCTTCGTCGACGCTCGCAGCAGCGGCAGAGAGAGGAAGCTTCGGCGCTATGTGGATCCATCCGCCCTTTCGTTGCAGTGTCGACGGAGGCAAGGGAAGGGAGGCAGAGGCAGAGGGAGAGCTGTGCCTTGCTAAATCACCATCCCCACAGACAGACAGACAGACAGACAGAGAGATAGCATCGTAGAGTTTTGAAGGAAAGCTGGCTCCCAGGGTGATCACCACGGCCCGGTTTCCAACGGCGTTTGTTCCTAGTCTTCTGTGATTTTGGTTCCAGGTACTTGACCCCTTCCGATTTGCGTTTCTTTGATCGTTGTCACGATCGTTTTCATGCGCATGTTTCTTTTCCAGGTTTCGTAGAGGTTCATTGCTACACAGCAGGAATTACGAATTTTATTGTGCCGATCAGGCTAAGAATCTTACCTGAAACGTATTTCCATTCAAAGGATTAATTGGCGCGCTGTGTATGATATTCGTCTTCTGTAGAGAGAGTTGTTAGATTTGGAAGGAGAATGATCTGTACAATACTTGGTTCATTTCTCCTCTCCTCTCGGGCAAGTATGATTCGGTTGCTTACATTAGCCCGACTGTCCCGGAATTAAATTTAATCTATTCTCAGCAAAAGGGCATAGAGAAGTACTGTTGATGTTGAATGCGTTGATGGCTTCAATGTAAATTGTGGACAGTTGGGATCTTGTTTACTAATAATTCTTTGTTTAGACATTAACGCATGCGTAATCAGAAGCCAACATTCCGAAAGGCTCTATTGTTCTTTCGTATTCATTGCTATGAATGGCTGATAATATCAGATCTGGATTTGCATCGTTTTCCAGGTTTTAAGTCCCGCGGTCTTACGTTTACGGGCACGACTGTAGCTTTGTGACAGAGATGTCGAAAGGTGGTAATGGTCTCGGCTGGGCTGATCAGTGGGACCCTCACTATGACGGCGACAAGGCCAACAACGTCGGAGGATCTAAAGAGTGTAACAAGAATGAGAAGATGGACAAAGCTAAGGCAGCGGCAAGTGCTGGCTTACGGAAAACGAAGGCTGCTGCAACTGTTAGGATGGTGAAGACGAAAGTGGCAGCTACTGCAGGGGCAAAGAAATTAAAAGCAGGCACGTCGGCAAGTTTGAAATGGATTAAGGGTAAAGTTAAAAAGTAACTTCAGCTCGAAAACTACAAGGTTCGGAAGTGTAACATGTCAGTGATTTCAGTATACTGGATATAGCTATTGCAGGTCCATTGGGAATTATGTTCTACACGAAAATTGGTTGTATCGTGAAAGGTGTGAAAGGTGTTAATTCCGCCTTTGGTTAAAGGAGGTTATTCGAATAGCAATGACATATCAAACAATTGCCAGTTCCCGACCTAACCATGTCACTGCAACTGTCGACTGCAAGAAAACATGTATGACGCACGCATACTCCATACCCACAGTGACTAACATGCACGGTTAGCAATTTCCGGTCGTATGCATTTACTTAATCTAAACTAAACCAGATTTTGACAACCACAGTCCTGGGTCAGTAGACATGGAAACAGTACAGTGTGTCTGTTAGATATACTCTTCAGAAACTTGCACCGCTGCCACGAGTTCTAGGCGACTCGTACAAGGTAGGGCACTCCATTTCACTTGTGGGCAAGGGAGAGACATCTAGACGGGGGAAACCAGCAAACCCCTACAGCAAGCTCTGTATGCTCTGTATACAGACTGAAAACCAGTCTACTAACAATCCAGTATCTTCAGATTGAATTTTCACTATCATACACGACTTTCGCCATGTAAGAAGGATCCATTGGTTAAGTTTGTTCTCATCACACGATACATGGGTCTCTAACACTTTAATAAAAACGAGGGTTTCTCACAAACTGTGATAAGGGGGCCTAGGCTACTATAAGATATACAAACTAGAATAGCGCATGAATAGCCTGAAAAAATGCACCAGGAACAGTTTCGGTCACGGCAACGACTCTTAATCATGAGCATGATTCCTTTCAGCTGGACAACAAACCACAGAAACATAACGGGATAGCCCACACGGGGTTCACACCCCGCGTGAAGTACACAACAAGAACCTGGCCATACGACAGAGCTGAATAAGAGTCCCACGTCTACGAGTTAGCTCGGATACCCACTTCACCTCACTTCGAAGCGGGTGACAAATCTCCGGTGGACGCCGCAAATATCTGCCTACCAATGCGCGTGAAACTTTCTACTTTGCAGCAAGACAGCTGATTTACAACGAATATGGGGCATGAGCGATGTACCAGCGGCTGTCGTTTGGGGCTAGGGTGGTGCCTCGACCCCTAGTTCATTCCTCATGTTCATCTAGCCCACTTTCTGCTGTAACGACCATGACATCTTCCATGACATGCGACTGATTGTTTGCTGTTTGCTTCAATAAATTCACTAGTTTGTGATGTCAAAACTGGGGTTGTTGATTATTCTAGATTATGGGTGAATGTGTTGCAACATGCTTGTTCTTTGATTGCATGAGAGAGTGTCTGTCTTCACAGCAAGTGTTAGCTACTCTCTATAGGCACACATACTGTTCTCTAGATATAGATTTCTACTGATGATTGACTACTGAATAACATGTTCCTGTGAAGCCCATGTTATGGGAACCTTCAATTTAGTTCTGTGAGATAGGGAAAGTGTATCCATGGTTTTGATCATGTCTATTAGCCATTAGTTCAAATAGTACTAGGGTTTAGTACAGCTTCATTACCCTACAGGAAATATTGAAAATGGGTCCAACATGATGTTCAGACTCCTGCAATTTCCTCTCTTTTGCAGACCTCTGTGAAAATAGACTATGGTGTATTTACTAACTCAAAACAGCCCTTCACGTAATCTTGACCAAGCAAAAAGGACTTTTTACTAGCTTGTATAATTCTTCAAGTTGGTTTTGAAGGAATTTTATTTTTTCAATGCTAGGAAAAATATGCACATTGAAATCTTATTGTAAAGAATAGATTTGTATAATATTTCTTAGTATTAAGCTATTTTAAAAAAGACTTCTTAATTTCAAATAATAATAAAAAAATTAAGTCAAAACTTCTCATTTTGTTTCTTAAGTATAAAGTTTCTTTTAACATAAGTAAAATTATAAACTTAAAAATAGTATTTTTTTTACAAACTATCAAATTCAAACCACAATATAAAATGTTAAAAAATACTTAAACTATAGAATAAAGACAAAACTTATACTTTTTAATATTTAGATAACTTCCTATTGCAAAAAAAATAAAACACAAATCTAGTGGAAAACTTCTAATATATTTTTTTTGATGAAATTGTGGATCAATGTACTTCCTATAAAAATAACAATAAAAATAATAATTTTTGTATCAATAGAATAGAGTGTTAAAGTATTCATTTTGTTATTTAATATCATTGTGAAACATAAAAAAAGAGATACAACTTGAAAAAACACAAAAAGATATTGCTTTTGCTAGCACAAACTTTTAATTGTTGTGGTGAGAATCATCAAGAATGTTGAGAAAAGAACTCTTTAAGTAGTTGCTAATGGTCAATAGAGTACAAGTGTTGTTAAGGACATCCCATAAGGTAGGGTGCTGGTCTATAGTACATTAGAGTACAAGGGGAGGGCTGGTCCTAGGAGATATCCCATAAGGATTGTAGCACTTGGTACCTTGGTACTAGTATATAAGGAAAGGATTGGCATGGGAAGAATTATCTCATACCACACTCTATTTGTTATAGTGCAACCTTGCTGGTCCTAACTTACTTGTGTGGAGTATGCTTTCTATGTTTCAATAGGTTATGGGCCCACATTCTCTTACCAAGTAAGTTGTTCTTCCATTTTATTTTCTTTGTTGCTTGTTTGGTGGTTGAGATCTTATGGTATAGTATTACTAGTGTTTTGTTGAAGTCATTACTCCTGGATTTGTGAGTGTATGAGGTTAGTGCAAGACCTTGATAGTGTCTTTGCTGAAGTAACACTAGTATTTGAGAGTTTTATGAGAAATTGAGTCATTTTGAGTGAGGTGATGTGAGGGAGATGTTTGAAAGCCATAGAATTACATGACATAGCATTTCCCACCATTTAGACGTGATTTGGACTCAAAGTATGCAAAAAGTTGCAAAACAGCGAATTCTGAGTTTGTAGTTCAGCAATCTTTGAGTAGTCATATCTTTTGCATTACAACTCCAAATCAAGAGATTTTTGGACCTACTTGTAGCTTGAGATGGCATCTTTTGAGAGTGATAGCTTAAGAATGGTAGAAAAGTTTAGAGATGACAACTTTAACCACTGGAAGGCCAAAATGGAGCTACTTTTGGCGTCATTGGATCTTTGGGAGATAGTATGTGAGGAGGAAGAGGCACCTGGATTAGAGGCAAGCATGAAGGAGCAAAAGGACTTCAAAAGACGAGAAAAAAAGGCTTTTGGCATAATTGCCACCAACTTAGATGAAACCAACTTTGCTCATGTCATTTCTTGCAAAGGAGCAGTAGATGCATGGAAGACTCTTTGCAATGTCTATGAGAGTAGGAATCTTTCCAATGTGCTATGGTCAAGGCAAAAGTTCTTCACCATGAAGATGGAAGAAGGTGAAGATCTCATGGCTCATGTAAATAAGGTAAAAGCACTTGCAAACCAACTTGCTGTTGTTGACAAGCCTTTACTTGAAGAAGATGTTCTCATGACATTGCTCTCAAGCCTTCCGGACTCCTATTCCTCCCTCATTGTGGCATTGGAGTCCATTTCAAGGAAAGACCTCACTTTGGACTATGTCACGGCAAGACTAGCCCATGAAGTGACCAAAAGAAAGTAAAAGGAGTCTATTGGGGAGCAATCAGCACTATTTACAAGACCAAGTAAGGCAAGTGCCCCTTTTCAATGTTATCCTCCTAAAACTTGTTACATTTGTGGAAAACCAGGCCATTTTGCTAGAAATTGTTTCAAGGCAAAGAGAGGAGAAAGAGAGAATGCCAACAATGCTTTTCATGATCATGGAGGTGAAGACTTTGCATTCATGGCAAAACAAACTCCTTCTATGTTTGATATGAGCAAATGGATTGTGGATTCCGGATGTACCAAACACATGACTCCATACAAGTGTTCATTTAACACTTATCAACCAATTCAAGCAACCAAGGTTTGGTTAGGTGATAATTGTATGGTACAAGCCATTGGAATAGGCACCATTGTAGTGGAGGTGGTGGTGAAGGGCATAAGCAAGAGAATCACTCTCAAGGATGTGTTGCATGTGCCAAAGATGAAGAAGAACCTCCTTTCGGTGAGTAAACTTATAACTCATGGGTACAAAGTGCAATTTAACATGAATGGATGTTTTGTGAGAACCATGGAAGGCAAAGAAGTAGCAAAAGGGACTAGGAATGGCAATCTCTATATTATCAATTGCAAGAGGATCAATGGAGTGGAGGTTGCTGCCTTTGCTGAATTTCCATCAAATGAAGAGAAGATGGGCATTTGGCATCAAAGACTTTGGCATTTGAATGCCAAAAGCATGAAGGGGCTTCAATCCAAGATAAATGGCATAGACCTTGGCCATTCTACGATGAATCTTGCTTGTAAGGGATGCATTCAAGGCAAACAACATAGGACACCATTTCCTAGAGGAGTTGCAACAAGAGCAAACCAATTGCTGGAGCTTGTGCATTCGGATGTTTGTGGATCCATGAGGACACCATTTATGAGTGGTAGTGAACAGTGGGAGATGTGTCGAAGTGGGAGTAGTGGTGTGTTTGTGGACACATCTTCAATTCTAGCAAACAAACAAGAAGATGAAGAAGAGCATTCTCAAAGTGAAGAAGAAGAGGAAGATGCCATGATAGAAGAGCCCAATACTATGAAGACTTCAATTCCAGCAAGATACAACAAGGACAATGAAGAGAATGAAGATGAAGAATACCAACAAATGAGTAAGAGAAAGCACTCCATGAGTCATACAAGGCAGCAAGAGGTGTAAGAAGGCTCATCTTCTTTGCATGAAAGAAGATATCCAACACGTGAGAGAAGACCACAAGGTGAATGGTGAAAGAACCACATCTTTCCACAACAATTGGATGTAAGTGGGTGCTTAGAACTAAGAGAGATCCGAATGATTGAAGGTCAACATTAGGCTATGTATTCTTTGTTTGAGTGGGAGCCATATCTTTGAATAGCAATAGACAACCAAACATTGCAAGGTCCACAATAGGGGCGGAGTATTTGGCAGCAAGTCATGAAGCAATGGAGGCAATTTGGTTGACGTTGTTATTGGAAGATATTGGACTTGTGCAATTTGAAGCTACTCCATTGAGGTGTGACAATCAAGGATGTCTTGCTTTTGGAAAGAATCCAAAGCATCATGCAAGAACTAAGTACATTGATATTCAGCATCATTTCATAAGAGAGAAGATAGAGATGGAGGTTATTGATATGATGTATTGTGAAACTAAAGACATGATGGCTGATTTATTGACAAAAGACTTAGTTAGAGAAGGACACAACAAGTTGAGTAAGGCATTAGGATTGATAGCTAATTGACCAATAGCAAAGTGGGAGTATTGAGAAAAGAACTCTTTAAGTAGTTGCTAATGGTCAATAGAGTACAAGTGTTGTTAAGGACATCCCATAAGGTAGGGTGCTGGTCTATAGTACATTAGAGTACAAGGGGAGGGCTGGTCCTAAGAGATATCCCATAAGGATTGTAGCACTTGGTACCTTGGTACTAGTATATAAGGAAAGGGTTGGCATGGGAAGAATTATCTCATACCACACTCTATTTATTATAGTGCAACCTTGTTGGTCCTAACTTACTTGTGTGGAGTATGCTTTCTATGTTTCAATAAAGAAATCATGTCCTACTCACACTATGAAGCATAATCAAAGTCTTAATATGCATTAAAGTGTAATAATAATATTATTATCAAAGATATAAATATAACCAATTTCACCTCCTTTGTGTTTGGTATGTATTTTGATAGTTTCAATCCTATAAACATTGTAATCAATCAACGCAATGTTTAAAGTGTAATCATCCTAATGGTCATGTACAATGATAACAATTTGCAGCAAACCCAATACTACTGTTAACAAACAAATAAATAAATAAATAAAAATCATGTCCTCCATTGATCATTGAACACTTGCAAATTGTAGTATCAAATCCCTTTTAAGAACCACAAAATAGACATACAAAAGATAAATAAGATAAAATAAATAATAAATTGCTAACTTATCCGCCCAGTTTTTTGCTCACTCCAATTCATCCTATCAGAGGGATTTTAATTTGGGATGTGTAATGCCAAAACCAGCATCAAGCAACTTGAAGGTAGACTAATATTTATTAGAAAAAAAGTTAAAATTGCAATACACAATATTCTAATCGAGACACTAACATACCTGAGTGCATCATGTACAAAGAGGACCACGCATCAACGTGCATGTCAACAACTAGCCACGTCCTGAGGTATCCACTGAAAATTGTACATTTCAACCCAGAATGTTAAGAGGACTATATCTGCAGTGAATACAACACTGACTTCATCATTTATTTATTTATTTACTGATTGATTAATTTGTTTTTCCTCTCTGCAGATAAAAAAGTTCTACTGGAGTGGGAGTGTACTCGAAGCAACAGTGCCACATAAAAACTTATTATCGGAGGAACCCAGGTCTCAAGTATAGTGAGCTGCAGTAGAATCTTCCACTTGTTCCACATACTCACGCAGGTATTAAGTCTACACAAAATTCATAAACAATTCACACATATTCACCACGTGCTCTTGATAAAATCAAACACAAAACGCCTTCGTAGTGCTATGAGAACAATATGAGCGAAGCTTTCAGGACACCAGATGTAAAACCAACCTCATTTTCTATGTCTATCGACTCAGCTGAAGCTTTCTTGATGCCAAAAATTTGGTTCTTGGTTGAGCCAGCTGCTGTGAAGCCGCATCTTCTGTCTTTGAGATTTTGTCTGCAACCAACTTCGTAAACTGTAATCTGATCGAGTCAGGAGCATGTATCCCATGTACTCTAACCAGTTTCATTTGTGACCAAAACAACGAGATCAGATATGGAAGCCAAGGCTCTCTTAAACCTAATCATAATAATCATAATAATCCCTGCATGAAGGTGATTAGGTTTACAATCAGATTCTACTACATAAGGAATACTTCTTCAGTGCATAGTGCTGCAAGCCTAACAACCAGCACGACTATAGAATTTAAACAAAATTTTGATGACTGCCCTCCTGAAATTCTCAAACATTCAATTTCATAAGATATCCACGAATACTACAGTTGCAGCTAGAGTGGTGTTAATTTCGTAACATCGACTACGCATTTGCCTCGCAAGGCCAATCCATTACCACATTTTCTAGTAACTGCTCAAGAATTTTAGAAGGTAGCGAAACCTATTCAGCGTCCAACCAAATCCCGAACCACTCTCAAAATTCGAAAACTAAAAATATCTTAACGTTATCCTTGGAAGTAACGAGAAATGTCTGCATGAGAGAGAGGCCCAATGTCTTGTGGTGAACGGAGCTGGGAACCCCTTAGTGTAGGGCCAGAGGAGAAGGACTTAGCGTAGCTCCAGCTGAAGTTTGAAATCGCCGAACTCAAGCTGGCAGCAGCCTGCATGATGTGACCATGATTGCCGTGGCATTGGTGAGAGAATGATGATAAATGACCGCAGGGACTGTAATAGGGAATCTAGCTCGGTGATGATGCATTTTTTCTACAGCTCTTCCCCCATGAACAAAACTAACCTCGTCTGGGGTAAAGTATGGAACATTTCCAGATGGGATCTTTCTCGAACTGTGTACTTTTTTATGTCGTGCGTGGGTAATCCGTTGGCGGCGAAATAGCAAACCGCCGTCAGCAGAATGTGCCAAAATTATTCCATTGATGCATGATCCAAAGCATGCCGTAATTCTAATCTGTCTCCTCCTCTTCTCTACGCATTCGGGATGGTTCTGTTCAGTGCTAAAGTGGGACAATACAAATGGACATCGCACTGAAACCTAGGCATCAGGTGCACTCACCAGTCGCAGAAGCTGTTGCTAAATATTCTAAGTTTAGTTTATGTTTCCTCGTGCGTGTCTGGCTAAAGCTCCACAGTACTCTCCTGTCAACATGACCAAAAAAGAAAAGTGATGCATACCAGACACCATCCAACTTGGGCACTCCGGAAATACTCGGGAGCTCATACCCAAATGCAAGCATTCCACAGACATTGCGATGCCCATGAATGAAAATGTTGTTTCAAATTTAGTTTCCTTCGCACCATTTTCATCACCTGGGGCTGCCAGGAAAGGAACACGTGCAAAACAAATAGAATGCGGCTTTTCATCCTTCAGTGTGAGAAAGGGGGTATTGTGCCAAATTGGTGCTATGGATAAGAGATCACAAAGTTTGTTACAATTCTCTCACACCCTGTTTGTCTCGAGGATGAATTCGAACTTGATTGTTGAAACTCTTTAGCCTCCTGTCTAATCATGAAATTGTGGTACTCGTTCTACCCTCATGGATTTTTTCGTTACTCTGGATCCAATTGGTCGTTGTTACCAAGTAATGAGGGCCAAGATCCATCTACAGGTTCGTCTCTCCATGGCTTAATGCACACTTGGTATCGAGGCCTCTTCTCGGTCACAAAAGATAGGAGTGTTCAATAGATTCGTCTTCACGTGAATTGCAGCGTGCGCGCAGCTGGAAAATTTTCTGAATTGGAAGTATTCTCCAGGTGCTGACGGCATGTTCGCAAATTGATCATGTTCGGAGATGAGCCTCCTGCGTTTGATAGCCTCCTCAGTTTGCCGTGTTCCATAATGGGCCTTTCCTGAAGCTATCTTTCAAGCGTACTACGAACAAACTCCATTCTAGAACAGATACAACACTCACCAGAAAAATTCAAGTGGAAAATTTTGACGGGACCGTAGACGCAGATTATTTACGTGCATCGAACATGAATACAGAATTCAGTTGCAGTTTTGCTTTTCAGCTAAGAATAGTTGTGCCACCGGTCACAGTGAAAACATACAAATGGATCAAGCCACTAACTAAGACTTGAATTGGTTTCTGCCCCCTTGTAATGATGGGATTGTCACAGCAGTAACTGCTATTACCAAATCCTACACCCGCCTCTCCCTCACAAGACTCAGGCACATGAAATTTCCACCTCATCTACATATCACCAACCCTCACATGCCCTAAATGATGCGGGAGCTACAACCCAGAGGATGCCTAGCTTATAATCACTTCAAGAGAATGTAATGCTATCCAATTCTCCCATCTACAGTATAAAAATTCCTAACCTGAGGGAAAAACACCCTAAAAAAGCTCTCACGGCTGATCGCTTCTTCGCTTCGACTTAAATCGCCAGAAAATCGATCAAATACGCGGTAGCAAACTCCTGGATATGGAAGTAGTAGCATCAAACTGGGCGTTTAGAGCGTTTGAGTGTTAATAATCGAACACTGTTGACAGAGCGACCTCCGACAAATTCTTTATGAATTCATTTCCTGAGTGCTTTAGCTGCCAAGAACTATTTGAAACTTTCGAGGAAATCAGTATGTCATACTGTAAAGCTTGTAGCTTGGGTTGTTGGGTCCCTCTAGGACTACGGCATCGTCCTCCCTATGTACATATACAGCATTCTCCTTTTGCATCTTCAGAATCTCCATAGGAAGCTCAGGCTTGAGCCCTGTGCAACCCACGAGGTTGAGCACTTGCAGCGCTGGTAGACTACCGATTTCAGGCGGCAACCGGTTGAGACGAGTACAACAGTTCAGCGACAAACGCTGTAAGCTTCGGAGGTTGCCGATCTCAGCCGGCAAGTGAGCCAGCAGCTTCATGTAGTCGAGTTCCAGAGACTGCAGGTTAACGAGGTCAAAGAGCTCATCGGGAAGACGTGCCAAGGCAGTACAAGAGTTCAACACAAGCTTCTGGAGGGAAATCATGCCACCGAACTCCGAGGGAAGTTCCTTGATGCCAGTGCACGAACCCAGGTTTAGTCTCTGCAAAGAGGTGAGCTGGCCGATTTGAGGGGGCAGTTTTTCGAGCCGGACGCAGCCAGTAAGGGAGAGATCTTCCAGAGAACGAAGTTTGCCAATTTCAGCTGGAAGAGATGTGATACCAGATTGACCGAGATAGAGGTGAGTCAAGTTCTTGAGATTTCCAATTTCGGGAGGTAGCCTCACTAGGCACTTGCAAAGGACGAGGTTGAGCTTGAGTAGAGTCTGAACGTTGCCTATCTCGGAAGGAAGAGTGGCGATGTTCGTGCATCCCGAGAAGTCCAGTTCACGAATGCTTGCAAGCTGACCGATAGACCTGTGCAAGTTCCGAATGCTCAAACAATTCTCTAACCTGAACTTGCGAAGATTTTTCATATCAGCAAATTCAGCGGTGAGGTCGTGGAGCTTGTTGCAACCGATAAGGTGGAGCTCCAGGAGGCCGGTCAATTGCAGAATGTGTTCGTGCACGACCTCCATGTTGTTGCAACCGATGAGCGTGAGATCTTTCAATTGTGAAGGGAACTGCAAAAGACAGGAAAAGAGAAAACATAAATACTTCAGGATCGAGGAAGCATCATGTGCAGTGCACGAATTCCTAGTATTGACAGCAAATGAGACAAGGAGGAGAACAAGTGCAAGTTCCAGAAGCAGAGAGGAATGTGCAATCATGATCCAATCAAGGATGATCCATTTCTTTTAACGACATTCAGGAGGCTTGAGTAGCATACTTTGATGGTGAGATCGATTTCTGCAGCTCGCAGAATACACATCTCCAACTTCTTTAATCTCTCCATTTGAAACGGAATTCGAACATCCGGGGCTACTCTGCTCCGGCCCCAGTAAAAGAATTGAAGCTGGTTGAGGGGCTTCGTGCAGTAACCCTTTACACCAGTGTCGTGAAGGATTAGGATTCGTGCACCTTGCATCTTTTCCAGCATAGTTCCTTGCAATGGCTCCTTACAGCTGATTAGCGAAAGTCCCTGCAAAGCGCTCAATTCCTGCAACCAAAACCATTGATAAACTCACCGCGCGAAAATACAACCAAGAGACGTAGCGACAAAAACAGTTAAGATTTCACCATCGAACTTAACAACAAAATGTTGAGACTTAACCAAGATCTTTCCCACCAAACACTAACCATTCCAGGGCCATCCATCTTGAGTCTCTCAGGCAAGTGCGCCTGATCTTCCGAACAGACGCGGTTACCAGCTGCCCGCCTGCACGCGATCGCATATAGCAGCTCGTGCATCATCACCATCTCAGACTTCCACGGTCGATCTGAGTATCGGGTATATAACGAAATGCCACTAGTGCTCTCCGCGTCCTTGAGTTTGGCACTGACCATAGCCTGGTCTACCAATGTATCCAACTGCGGCTTCCCCACGACCCGCTCTACTGTTCGCCAATCCCACCCTCGTAGAAATGCTGCGATGTCCAGGAACGCCTCCTTCTGAGCTGGTCCTAATTTCTCATATATGACCTGTACACAAGCCATCAATTCTTCAGTAAAAATCAACAGGAGAACCTTGCTCAGGTAAAGGCAACACCTCGAATATTACAAACAAGTGTAGTGTAACCTACGAGAAGCTTGGCAAACATCTGATCTTCGGAGGTGTCCATCTCCTCTGCAACTTGCTTCATTCGCTTCCCGATAGCCAACCAATTCTCCTCACTCCGGTTAGCCGGGTTGGAGAAGTATGACCCCACAACCTTCAACGCCATGGGCAGTCCCTCGCAGAGCGGCAAGAAGTGATTGGCAAGGTCCCCATATTTTGAAAAAATGCCATTGATGGAGTAGAGAGTGTTCACCGGCTCGCTGGCAGCGTGTGATATGAAGAGCGCCTTGGCTTGCTGTGGAGCCAAGCACGGCAGCTTGTACGGAAGATAGTGATAATTCGGCAAGGCAGGGCGACACAGCTGATCCACCTTGCTGAGAATCGCGACAGAGGGGCAGGTGATGATCACACAACTGTTAGAGGGGAGGAATTTCCCAAGACTGTGGGGGAAAAACTCTCCTACAAGGCGGACATCGTAGAGGTTGTCAATGGCAATGCGAGCAACCTTGTTGTTTTCTTTCAGTTTTCGCAGCTGCGCGAGAAGAGCACTGCGGCCTTGCGCGACACTAGTGATTTCCTTCTTCCCACCCCCGAGTTGCTCGAGTAGAGAGCTCTGGAGCTTTTTCAGGTCTTCACCAACTTCAATGTAGGCGAACAAGCGCTTCTCCGCTTTCTCAATCTTCGCAACGATTTCGTTAAGAAGTGTAGTTTTACCCAAACCGGCTTGTCCGTGGATACCGATGAGACAAACACCCTTGTTCTTCACGAATTCGCACACTGTTGCGACGTGGTGCTCCAAGCCTACACTAGCAGTCCATGGTTCGGGTCCGGCCCGTTTAGTATTTGATCCACCGTCGGTCACCGGCTGCGAAACGCGGTTCCCCACTGCTGCCAGAGTGGCGAAGGTAATGTTCTTTTGTAGGCTTTTAAGTTCCGCTATTGAGTTCTCGATCTGCTCCTTCACCGGCACCACGGAATTCCTTGATACAAAGCACAAACACCTGCCGAATTGCACATGATGGTTTAGTTTAGGAACCCGTGTAATCAAAACGAACCAAGAAAAAAAATACTTAAATAAACAAATCAATGAAAGAGTCTACAAAATTGTTGTTATGCGAATGCGGAGGAAGAAGAGGTTAGAAGCAAACCCGCGATTTTTTCTCTTCAGTAGACGTACGGCAGCACAACAATAGAGGAGGGTCCCGGCAGCAATCTTGTACATGTCATTGTCCACTTCGAGACACAGCTTAAGCTCGTCTAGTTGATCGATAATAAAGTCAGTCTCGGATCTCAGGCTAGACCACTTCTCACCCGCGGAGGATTTGGCTTCCATCTGGCAGTGGTGGCTGAGATAACCAGCCAGTGTGAAGGCCAACCCAAACCAGCTCATGTAACCTGTTTCTTTCAGAATGTCCCAGTGCAGATTCTCAAAAACCGCGGCGTGATCTTTGAAAGACGACTCCGACACCTGCAAGACAGAAGCCAAACGACAAAGAGAGAACTTGAATAATCAGAAGGGCGAATAATAATGGATTGTTTTCCACGTGCTTGAAACTGGGATGGAGCTTTAAGGTACTTATGATGAGAAGAGCAGTTAAACGTGACGGGGGCCAACCTTCTTGTAGAGCTCTTGAAGGCGCGGCTCGGAGGTGCGCAACACCTGCTCGATCTGGCGCAACTCGTCGGCCGTGATGTCCGCGTTGACATACTCCGGATCCTCGCCATCATCGTTGTTGGGGCTGCCACTTCCGCCCTTGTTAGCAGGGCTGCTCGTTTCTAGTTTGTTGGATTTGACGCTACGAGGACTCTTGTTCAAGCTTCGCGGACTCACAGCGTTGTTCCCGTCGCGGCTATCGATGGATCTGGCGCCGCCGCCAGTGGTGGGCGTGAAATCCAGGTTGGCAAGCCCTTTGCGACTCTTATTCGACCGGGGCGTATCGGGGACCGACATTTCATCGTCCGCTTTTTTCCCCATTGCAAAGAAATTGCAAGTCAAGGAAATTTACGCTCGATACAACCAGCTCTCACCCTCGCTACTTCTGCTCAGCTGCGCATGCCTGTTGTTACCACCCCAGTATGGACCACATTCTTCCCGTGGCTCACATAGCGACGAAGCTAGTATGATTCCCAGGATCTATTCCTGTTCTCCACAGGAATTATTCCGGTAAAATTCAGTGCAGACTCAACTTGAGAACTCCACTGCCCCTTCTTCACACAGATCACCGCACTTGTGATTACTCCACAAAGAAGTATACCAATCACTTTTTCCTCCTCTCCGCCAACCTACACTGCAAGCTCGACCCTTTAGGCTCGTGTAAGGAGCAGGATCCCTGCCACTACTCCTGGACCGGGCAGAATCCCAATGCCAATCACTGGACACTTGCGCACAAATCCAGGACCAGAAATAAGGGGAAATGAAACAACAACAACTACTACTACGACAACAACCCTTACCACACCCTCGCCTTGAACGAGAAGGCGCAACACGCCCAATCCGCAACGACAATCAAGATAAAACCACCAGTAAACCTCCTCGGAACCCTGGAAACCCTGGCAACGCTCGCAAGTGCACGAAAGGTGGTTTTGCAGATGGAACACGGGAGTAAGACCTTGGGGAGTGGAGGCAGAGGGAAAAGAGTAGAAGCGGGGAAGGGGGGGGGGGTCGCAGAGTGCGGAGCGAAAGCGGGGGAGCGCGAAATTAGGCGGTCTCGCAGACCAAACAAGCAGCCAGCTCTCTCACCAACGAGAACAATAGCAGCCAACACACAACACCAGCAGCAACATCATCAACAGTGGCAGAATAGCAACACTGGCCCCATCAGTGGTGGGCCATTTCCTGTCCTCCCTCTGCTCGCCCTCACGCTCGCCCCCGCATTGGCGCGCACCCCATTCCTCCCCCAAATGCAGCACAATCCTCGCAAATCACACGCTCGGGCGGGCCTCGGTGGCCAGGGGCTTGCACCCACAATCCTCTCCCTCCCGGTAACCGCTGCCCTCCCTTCTCGCCCCCAAAAATTAACGACCCCCGCCGTGCAGTGAAAAATACCTCCCCACGAGGACGGGTCTCGTCAGAATTACGACGACGACGACGAGCTGCGCGTGTTACAGTCGCAGCAGCGCAGTCTTTGAGGGAGTGAGACGGGGATGATGATGATGCCGTGGTGGCTTTGTTTCATTGTTTCTTTCCGAGCGAGCGAGAGAGCCCTGGGCCAGAGTAGCTGAGTGAGTGAGTTAGCTCAGCTACATAGCTGAGTAGTGGTGGTATGGGTAGTAGTAGTGCGGGATCCGCTCCCCCTCCCTCTCTCTCCCTCTCTTCTTCATCCTGCAATGCCGGGCAGAATCAATCAATCAACATGGCATCATCATGCCGTGTGGCGTCGGAGCCCAAATCGAGAGCGAGAGAGAGGGTGTGAGTGAGTGAGTGAGTAATAGATTCATTCATTGATTCCCCCCTTTTCTCCCTGGAACAACCAAGGGGAAGGGGAAGGGCCTGCTTCAATTCTTCATTCAATGCTGCCCCCGCTGCTCTACCTGCCTGCCTGCTCGCTGCTGCACGACCTGGTTCCGAACCTCTCTCTCCCATAGCACTGAAGGTTTGGAACATCCCCCCCCCTCCTACCTACCTGACTACCTACCTACCTACCCACCCACCCTGCTATTAGATGCCGCTCCTTGCTGCTGCTGATGCTGCTGCTGCTTGCAACGCTGTTGTTGTCCCATCAGTGTGTGGTGTGTGTGTGTGTCTGTCTGAGTGGCCTTTTGTTGTTGTTGTTGTTGTTGTTTTTTTTAATGCCCTCACCAATTGGGTGGCAAAGGGGGGGACACAACTTAGAAGAAAATGGCTCCTCATTCACACTGGCTCACTTGCTCCTCAAGATTCTCTCCCCTTCTCGCTCACTGCCTTCCTTCCTTCCTTCCTTCCCACAATCTGGTAATACACACATGTATGTATGTATGTATGTATGTGCATGCAGGGAGGAACATGAGAGGGGAATTATGCCTTCCAAGCTTTTATTGAGCAATGCACTGTTTCAAACTTTGTTCTGTTTTAGTTTTTTTGTTGTGTAAGGGTCAATTTGCCGTCAAGACTAGAATTTGAACATCAACAATAATGTGCATACACAACTAAACTTATCTTTCCATGACAACATAGTAATTTTGTGTCACATTATGGTCTGTCAGTGATTGTCTCAAAACACTCATCCAAGTTTTTATTTCTTTTCTTTTTGGTCCTTTCTGTATATTTTTGTCACCAACTGATTTTAGTAGATTCCAAAGTGTGATTTTTCCTTATAAAAACTGGATCAATCCATGCTTTGAAGGTTCTAACTTTAAGAAAGTTTTTATAAATAAACAAATTAAAGTGTGTGACTTATTGAATGTAAGTTAAATACAAAAAATAATTTTAAATTCAATCACACGTTTTTAGAGAGAAATGCAATATCCATGAGCATCATTCAAAAACCAAATAATTTATTTGTTCCCATGACCAAACTAATGTTGTTTGGGAGTTTCTTAGGAATTATTCAGATAAAAATCTAAATACTTGCCTTTGATTTTCATAATTAGGTTTTAAAAAGTGAATTCTAACTAATTTTAATTGATTGCTAGTTGGTATATGAGATTTTGGGATTCTGAAAAAAAAATAAAAAAAATAACACAAACATATAAGCAAATAATGAGAAAGCTCAAGATTTTAGTATTATTATTATTATTATTATTATATTTTTTTAGAGAAATTGTGTTGTTTCTTAAATGTGAATATGTATGTATGTATGTAGTTTGAAGTGAAGACCCTGTGACTTCTTTGTCTAGAGTCTTGAGTTTTGTCAATGCTAATATCTACTGGATCATTGCACAGTGCTAATGGAAAAGCATAAGCTGCATTTCCTACTGATTTAGTTCACACTTCCATTGGGCCAATAAAGGTGGAAGAATTAGAACAAGCCTTGCCTTGCATTCCTAACAGAATACTTTCCCAATATCAATGATTTGTTTAATTTATCTTCATTTATGTTTTTTTTTTCTCAGAATGGAAATATACACACTCTTTTGTCAAAGGGCTTTATAAGACACCCACATGGAAAAGTTTGTCATCTCAATACACACACCCACTAAAGCTCTTTTAGACTTGACTCAAATTTCAAGCAATCTGATGACTGATTGCCACACTGTCCAAGCACATTCACTTGTTTTGAATAACATAGAAACAAATCTGCCTTTCTAACAAAGTGGTGATTCTTAATGCTTAAAATGTATGTGAATAGTTCCTTATTTATCAATTCTACCATTGCACATCTACATGCACTTATGATCCAAAATGTTGAAATTTCAGACGCAAAGAATTTGTACATATATTGACATGAACAAAAGAATTCAAACTTGTTTTTTGCTATACCTCCACCATATTAACAAACATTACTTTGCTAGACAGCCCAGTTTGCAATGGGTTCTTATTTTAAGAAACAGTGTTTTGTTCTTTTATTATTATTGTTATTATTTTTGGATTTGGGTGCAATTGTGGATTGCACCACAAGTACATGAGGAGTACCTTCATGATAAATGAACAATCCATGCTCATGGGAACAAAAAGGATTCTATGGGAACATGGTATGGAACAAGAGGTTCCCCTGAAGGCAGTGATACAATTATTCAACCCAAAGGAGAGCATTGGGGACAGAAGCCAATGGGGAAAAATCCCTTGTCAGCTTAGACTGGGCCCTTGACTCTGTCATGGGCACAAAAAGAAACTGTAGGTAACAACTAGAATAATAAGAATTAGAATTAGAATTTGAAACCCTAATTACTGCACATGCACTCCACATTGGTCAATGAACCCTCCATACTTTCCATCACCTCCAAACGAGTTGTTATTTCTTTTTATCCTACTTTCATTGAGCTCTGCACATGGTTTGGTTTCAAGTTTGTATCACTGGGATTCCTTTGATTTAAAATTGTGCTTGTTTGTAACGAGTAACTGATTAAGATCTTTAAGGTAAATAAATAAATAAATAAAAATTAACAGGAACAATAATGATACTAATTGTGACTATGTATGATAAGAAACTCAACATGACATAGCGTTCAATTTTTTTTTATTATTTTTCAAGGATGTTGCCTATGGATTCTTTGTTGTCATTGCACTTTGTGATTCTCACTTGATTTTCCTTACATGATTAGAGCAAATTTCCATACTTCCAACACAACTATACATACATATATAATGAAACATAAGGAAATGTGATATATATATATATATATATATATATATTTTTTTTTTCATTTTTTTCTGCTTTCTTTTTTATAGCAGAACCCAAGGTTTTGAACTGTGCAAGAAAAAAGGAATATTGACCAAGAGGGTCAAGGGAATTTAGAGTTATGAGCCTGAGGAAGACCCATACAAAGTTGCTCACAGACGAACCCTTTTGCATTGTCTGTGCATCCGTAAAAACTAAGGATCCCACAGGAGCGCAGATCAACGTCCGCACTCAGGGTAGCAGTCTGAAGAGGGAGGGAAGTGGGGTTGGTGGCGGCTCTAAATGAGCAAGCACCCCACAATAAGTTAAAATTAGGTCAAATCCAAATATGGAGAGGTAAATAGCATGGCCCATATTGAGAACCCTAATGGAACTATTAGGATTAGGGTGAGCAATGGTGGGTTATTGTGGCACTGATGCTTTATCCCCCACTAACTCAACACATGTTGATGTGAACATCATCTCCCCACCCGGAGCATTGTGGTTGGGAGCTTTTTATGCCCAATGTGGCCTGGTGTAATGCTACAGTTGCAATTGCACTCTTTTTTGTGTTTATTTATTTATTTTTATTTTGCCCTTTTTGTCCTTGTTTGACTTGAATTTTTTTTGGTTTTGGATTCCCTCCCTTCTTTCACTCACAAGCACACAGCCACCATTGCTTTCTTCAAGCTTGGTGCCAAGAGTTTTCTGTGCTAGAGTGCAACCCCTCCTGAAGCAAGGGTCATGTGGATTCCAATGCTATTGTGCCTTTCTTATATGCAATCTCAGCGCTTTTGAAGACCATTGGCAGAATGTGGACCAATCACTTTTTTAATAACTCAGCCTTTGTGTGTGCATTGTTGTTTTTATTTACTAATAATGGTGACTATGGAGACAATACATTAGCTTGTTTAATATCTGATTGTCTGAGCTTTTGTTCTTTCTTTTCCTGATCTGCTTTCATGTACATTCCTCATGTCCCTTTATCGCGGTGTCATTCAGGACAATGTGTAAATTCAACATCAAAATTCAATGGAAGAGATGAACTGGGGCACTTCATTTTGGGATTGGAAACCAGCAAAAATTGCACAATATAAGGAAGGATTGAGCCTTTTCTTTTATTTTATTACTGAGGGAGAACGAAAAATTACTATCTAAAAAGTTTGCAGTCTGAGATGAAGGGAAAAACAAATCAATAAATAAACAAAACAGGACGTTGAATCATTCACAGTGCTTTACACAGTGAAGTCGAAACTCAACCCAACACACTATTAACACTCCAGGCAGCATTGACATGGTCATCCATGCATGAAGAGAATTAAAAACATGTTCCAAGATCCCTAAACAATGGTGCATTTTATTCAAATGACATTATTTTTTTCCCCATCTTATTTTTATATTCGCTTCTTCATTTCCATTGTTTGATTTCTGGGTTAATATCATCAGCTGTTCCACATAACATGTCCATTCAGATCTCAACATTTCATCTTCTTATTTTCCTTCTTCTTCTTCTGCTGCTGCTGTGTCAATGTTATCATCAAAAAATCATTCTTTGTAATAAATTGCAAACGTGCTGAAAAAGAATGTACC